CTTCAACAACAATTTCCTCAATAATCTTAGGGGTTTTCAACAATAAAATCCTCAAGGTATCAAGGTATCCAGTAGATCTAGATATATTACAAATATGAATACATTTAATTTATATCAAACAATTGATAAACCCTCAAAAATTACACATCATAGCTCCACAGTAATACATAAGTAATTTTTGTACCCTAAATTAAAAAGAAAATGGAGTCTTAGAGCCAATTGTTCTACAGACTTTATGAATGCTCAGCACTGTAACTATGAAAAAATAGTTTGGGACTAAAAGCCCCTAATTACATATTGTACACAGACACCTGTTATAGAGATAATTGAGATTTTTTTCCTAATCTCTCAACAGCTGAACTAATTAAGGAAGGCACTCACATGACATTTTTTGTTGTATAGAAATATAATCAGTGAGAGACTATTGGAATGGTTTAAAAATTATCTTTCAAAATAGACCACAAAATGTTTTAGAGTGGGGGGAGGTGAGTGTGTGTGTGTCTGTGATTTAAATTTTTAATGTAGCTTTAACAATTTTTCAGTCACATTGCTACTATGTCTGCAGTGTGACAGTTTATAGTGATGTCTAACACTGAGGAATCATGCAACCGACATGTAGCATGATGTCCCACCTAGTCACATTATTCTGACACTATTCCAAACATTAATCTCTTAATGCTGAGTGCAAGGCAAGGCAGCTGTTAGTACCATATTTTCAAAGTCTTTGGTATGACTCAGCTGAGGTTCAAACCTATGACCTCTCACATCCTAGGTGGATGCACTACCACTAGGCCACTGGAGTGGTTAGTATGCTCTGGAAGGTGCACTTCTAACATGTCAGGACTGGTGTGCCTCAGGGATCTATACTTGGACCACAGTTATTTTTAATTTCTCTTAATGATATTGCCCATGATATTCAGTATTGCTGATGACTGCCAAGGGTATAACCCTGGCTACTGGTATTTTTAATGAAAACCTATTTAAAATCAGCTTGAAGAATGGTTAGATCTATAAATAAAAAAAACTGAATCAATAACATATTCAGAAAATCTCAAAAGAAACATTACCCACAACTTTTAATCAATGATACTGGTTTTTAAAAAATCAAAAAAAAAACTTGGCATAATTACACTGGATGAAACCCTATCTTAATATATATATATATATATATATATATATATATATATATATATATATATATATATATATATATATATATATATATATATATATATATATATATATCTTCATACAGAAAATGATAACAGAAACATGGAAAAGGTCAGATATGTTATGAAGTTTGAAGACTATAAATGTTATATTATCTGGAATAAATACACTCAGTATGAAAAAGATAAAATAGAAAAAAAAATATAATCTGAAAAATTTAGAAATCTTCAAAATCTGTATCATGTGATAGAATCTGGAGGAGAACAAGGTCCGGCATACAAAGAATGATTTAGTCACAACTTACATTTAAGTACTGTACACTATTAGATGTCTGGTATGTACATTGAGTCACTACCAATGTCTTCACACTAAGACATTGCATTTCAAGTATGCATTTAGTTTGTATTTACATATTCACACTAAACTTGGATATCTCTGGTATGTATTTAGTCACTATTTACATGTTCACACTAAACTTGTATATCTCTGGTATGTATTTAGTCACTATTTACATATTCACACTAATCTGTCACATCTGTTATTTAGCCACTATCTAATCTGCACACTAAACTGATATATCTCTGATATGCATTAAGTTACTACATGTACATGTACTTACATGTGTGCCACTTGAAATAAAATTAAAAGTTCTTTACCTACCCAATCAATGCCAACATTTTCATAATTTTTTCTCATTTTGTTTGTCTTTCAGTAACAAGTTTTGCTCTAAATACTTAAAAGTTATTAAAGTTATTGTTTAATATAATTACAATCTTGTATATACAATTTCTATTGAATAAAACATTTGCATTTTCAATGTCTGTGATCTATGCATTTTTTTCTTTCATCAGCTATATTAAGTAAATATCAGTGTTAATGAAGAGAGTCCTCAAATTAAGCTTAATCAGAATTTTATGCAATATCCATTATAACTTCTGTAAATATTGTTAAAATAAAGCACAAATCCTATAACCTGTAGGGGCTCTTTTAAACAACATGGAAAATGCTATAGAAGAAAACACCAGTCACCCAAGGCAAACAATTAGGTCAAAGTGACCAACATTTTGGTATAGCTGAATTACTCTCCTTGAGATGCATGCACATACAAATCTTCCACAAAATGACATTGCAAAAGGACCCAAGATATTGGGTTTGTAATGAAACAATTGCTGAAAGTACATATGTCAGTCAAGGGTGAAAATTGGGGTACAGTGACATGGTTTTGGTATAGTTTAGTTACACTCCTTGAGATGCCTTCGTCTTTCAATGAGTATAGGTGAAATAGGGTATTAAGGGTTTAACAAATTAATACCTGAAAATTAAAAAGTCACTCAAGTATGAAAATTAGATCACAATAACCTAGTTCTGAGATGGAAGAATTAATCAACAAGATATGCACCCATATTGCAATTTTCATTTTAAACTATGGTTTAAGATACTGAAGATATGATGAAATGACACCTAAAAAGAAAAAAGGTAATACCAACATAAATATATATGTTCAGTTGGTATGGTTGAGTTGCTCCAATGAAGATGTCATTCACATAGCAATTTTCATAAATGTAGGTGATATAGGGTAAATAAATAGTGTTCACAAAAAAAATCAAAATTCAACTGTTACTCTGTGTAGATAAAGATGTTGCTGAATTTCCAAGTTAATCAATTGTAAGAATTAGGTCACACTGACCTAGTTTTTATATTATTAAGTTACTTTCTTTGATATGTAAATACATACTAATTTTCATGAGTCTTGGTTATAGGGTACAAAACAATGTGTGAATATCAAATAGAAAACTGAAAATACCACTATATTCATGTATAAAAATTGGGTGACAATGACCTGGTTTTAATATGGTTGTGTCATGTAAGGTAAATAGGGTATATAATATTAGGATACTCTCAAACAAAAGCTGAAAATACAAAAGTCCCTCAAACATGAGAAGTGGGTTACATTATTCTAGTTTTGGTTACTTTCAGTGAGATATATCCACATACTCATTTTCATGAAATCAGGTAAATTAGGGTTGAAGATATTGGATGTGTTGCAAACAAATTGAAAAAATTAAACAGGTCACTCCAGTGTACAAATTTGCTCACAATAACCTGGTTTTCATATGGTTTAATTCTTTTTATCATTAAATATTTTATGAGTGTATGTGAGTCCAAGATATTGAGGATGTAATGAATGGGAAAAAATGGAAAGCTGAAAATACCAAAGGTCACTCAAGCATCAAAATAAATAGGGCCAAACTGACCTGGAGTTTGCATGGTGGTTTTCTTTTCCTGAGATATATCCATGTTTTGTGTGAGTGAAAGAGAATCCAAGAAATGTATGTGTGTGTATGTGTGTTTGTGTATGTGTGTGTGTGTGTGTGTATGTGTGTGATCTGAAAATAAAGAAGTTGGTGAAGCTTCCAAATTACATTAGATAGAGATGGTTACACTACTTTTGTCACGATGTATTTATCAACTAATCATCATGAGTGCAGGTAAAATAGTCTAAGGAATTAAAGCTATAACAAATAAAAAGCTGGAAATAAAAAAAAACACTCAAGTGTGAAAATTAGATCTCAGTGACCTAGTTAGGATATGGCAGAGTTGCTTTCACCCAGATGTATCTATGGATTAATTTTCATTAGTGCAGGTGAAATAATTTGCAAGGTATTGACAGTGTAATGAACAAACAGCTCAAAATACAAAAATCACAAAAGCATATCAATAAGGTCACAGTGAACTTGTTTTGGTATCACTGAATTACTTTTGTTGAAATGCATCTACTGCCCAATTATTATTTGGTGAAATAGGATTAAAGATACTGAGGTGTAACAAATAAATGCCAAAGTCACTCAAGCATATAAATTAGGTTGCAGTGATCTAGTTCTGATTTGGCTGAGTTACTTTACCTGAGATGTATCCACATATCAATTATCATGTGTTGGTGAGATAGTCTGAGGTGTTCAAGGGGGTAATGAAATACTGAGAAGATAAAATAAACAACAACAAAGTGCACAAATGGGCCAAATGCAATATTCCTTCAATAACGAAGCTAATGAAGGAGGAATTAAACACTGTTTGTTGAGAATTGGTACCTGTCAATATGGAAAAGTGTCTGCATTTGGCATTGACATGGTTTTTAGCATTTCTTGAAGAGAGATCAATAGTCATAAACATATGTTTTGCAAGTATAGCTTCAGGAACATATTATATAAAAAACACCTACTGTTTTTTATTTCCGTCTCAGACAGATACGTCAACGAAGCATCTCTAAATTACAGTGAGTGGGTGTCATGTACTTGAATTGTACCAATATATAGTGTGTTTTAGAAAGATAAGAATAGTTTTAATAATCATGTCTTGAGGAGCTGAGTTCAATCCAGAGAGATAATCAAGTTACACATCTCTACCAAGCAATTACAGTATCTATGTTAAATAAACAAATAATCATGAAACACTATTTTTGTGTTCTTTTTATATACAATTTATCTAAAACAAAATGTAAGATGACTTGTTTTTGACTGAGAATTTATTATAAAACACAAGACCAAGAGGAATTTAAAAAGAATCACTCAGCTGGCTTAAATAACTTAACAGTGGACCATTTTACCAAAGCTGAGCTTATGTAGTGTATGTGTGTGTGTGTGATTTGGATTTTTAAGATAGCTTTAACAATTTTCAGTCATATCATTACGATGTCTGCAGTGTGGCAATTTATAGTGATTATCTAGCACTGGGGCATTTCATGATGTCCCACCCAGTCACATTATCTTGATGTCAGGCTGACACTAACAACTTTATGTTCACCATTAAGGCAGCTGTTTAAGTCTTTGGTATGACATGGCTGTGGTTTGAACCCGTGACCTCCTGCATCCATGGCAGATGCTCTAACCACTAGGCCACCATAACAGTCTAGCTTTTGTAGTAGTGTAAGAACAAAACCAATGTGAACTATCTTCTACACTTTTATATAATGTTGATTTTACCTATTGTACTATAAAAGAGAATCTTTCTGTAGATAAGGCATAATTAATATGCACAGCCTATAGATGACAACATAACTCATCCATGATGGTGATGATAGAAACCCATCAACCAAAATTTATAGAAATTGAATAAGAAATATAATCTCTAATTCTAGAGAGTTAGCAAGATCATCCAATCAGATTTAATATTACATCATCCAATTAGAATTAATATCACATCATCCAATCAGATTTAAAATCAGTTTTTCTTTCTTAATTAGAGAATTCCAAATTTTATTAAAACTGAATCATAATAATGGTTTCTTTAGTGGTAACAATCTCAGCCAATTACATAAAAACACCTCATTGATATACATTGAGTTATCCAATTATCAAAGTTGTCCATCATGATGATGGAAAAAGCACGTTTCATATCTGATCAAAATTACAGCTTCCAAATTCAAGGTCAGCCAATTAGATATAAGATTAAGTCTTTATGTGTGCATCTTGTTCATCATGAAACTCAACTGAGACCTTAATGATACACACCCATATTCCAAGTTTGATCCAAATAGGATCAAAAATATAGTTCACAGATGGATAACAAATTCAGCAAATCAGATGCAAGATGATCTGACTTTTCCATAATTGTGATGACATACCAATATTCCAAGACTCTGTGTGTGTGTGTGTGTGTGTGTGTGTGTGTGTGTGTGTGTGTGTGTTTTTAACATAGCTTTATCAATTCTCCATTCATATCACTACAATGTTTGCAGTGTGGCAGTTTATAATGATGTCTAGCATGAAGGCATCATGCTGCAGGTATATAGCATCATGTCCCACCCACTCACATTATCATGACACCATGAAAACCAGTCCAAACACAATCTCTTAATGCTGAGTGCCAAGCAAGGCAGCTACTAGTACCATTTTTATAAGTCTCTGAAATGACTTGGCCTCCAGGGTTTGAACCTGTGACCTTCTTCATCCCAGGCAGGTACTCTAGCCACTTAGGTTAATGGAGCAGCGTATTCCAAAATGGAACAAAATTGAATCAGATATATTGCCTCTAATGTTAATGGGACCTGAGTCAGTCGAATGCAAGGAATGCAAAGTCACCTCATTCAGATTTTTGGATCTTACACAATACCAAACACATCTGTTATATGGAATCCAGAGTTTATAACAGCTTCTGTAATCACGTGCAAGATTACTTCATTAATATGCATGGGGATCTCATGCATTACTGAATTCCTGTAAGATTACTTCATTAATATGCATGGATCTCATGCATTACTGAATTCCTGTAGGATCACTTCATTAATATGCATGGATCCCATGCATTACTGAATTCCTGTAGGATCACTTCATTAATATGCATGGATCCCATGCATTACTGAATTCCTGTAAAATTACTTTGTTAATATGCATGGATCCCATGCATTACTGAATTCCTGTAGGATCACTTCATTAATATGCATGGATCCCATGCATTACTGAATTCCTGTAGGATCACTTCATTAATATGCATGGATCCCATGCATTACTGAATTCCTGTAGGATCACTTCATTAATATGCATGGATCCCATGCATTACTGAATTCCTGTAGGATCACTTCATTAATATGCATGGATCCCATGCATTACTGAATTCCTGTAAAATTACTTTGTTAATATGCATGGATCCCATGCATTACTGAATTCCTGTAGGATCACTTCATTAATATGCATAGATCCCATGCATTACTGAATTCCTGTAAAATTACTTCGTTAATATGCATAGATTCTATGCAATACTGAATTCCTGTAAGATCAACTCATTAACATGCATGGATCCCATGCATTACTTAACTCTTGCAAGATTACTTCATTAATATGCATGGATAACATGCATTACTGAATTCATGTATGATTACTTCATTAATATGCATGGATCCCATGCATTATTGAATTCCTGTAAGATCACCTCAGTAACATGCATGTATCCCATGCATTACTTAACTCTTGCAAGATTACTTCATTAACATGCATAGATCCCATGCATTACTGAACTTGTGTAAGATCAACGCATTAATATGCTAGGTTCCATTAAACTCCTATAATATTAGATCATGTCATTAATATGCATGGATCCCATGCATTACTAAACTCCAGCAAGATCACCTCATTAGCATGCATGAATCCCATGCATTACTAAACTCCTGTAAGATCACCTCATTAACATGCATGAATCCCATGCATTACTAAACTCCTGTAAGATCACCTCATTAACATGCATGAATCCCATGTATTACTGAACTCCAGCAAGATCACCTCATTAACATACATGAATCCCATGCATTACTAAACTCCTGTAAGATCACCTCATTAACATGCATGAATCCCATGCATTACTAAACTCCTGTAAGATCACCTCATTAACATGCATGAATCCCATGTATTACTGAACTCCAGCAAGATCACCTCATTAACATACATGAATCCCATGCATTACTGAACTCCTGTAAGATCACCTCATTAACATGCATGAATCCCATGCATTACTGAACTCCAGCAAGATCACCTCATTAACATACATGAATCCCATGCATTACTAAACTCCTGTAAGATCACCTCATTAACATGCATGAATCCCATGCATTACTGAACTTCAGCAAGATCACCTCATTAACATGCATGAATCCCATGCATTACTGAACCTCAGCAAGATCACCTCATTAACATGCATGAATCCCATGCATTACTGAACCTCAGCAAGATCACCTCATTAACATGCATGAATCCCATGCATTACTGAACCTCAGCAAGATCACCTCATTAACATGCATGAATCCCATGCATTACTGAACTTCAGCAAGATCACCTCATTAACATGCATGAATCCCATGCATTACTAAACTCCTGTAAGATCACCTCATTAACATGCATGAATCCCATGCATTACTGAACTTCAGCAAGATCACCTCATTAACATACATGAATCCCATGCATTACTAAACTCCTGTAAGATCACCTCATTAACATACATGAATCCCATGCATTACTGAACCTCAGCAAGATCACCTCATTAACATGCATGAATCCCATGCATTACTGAACTTCAGCAAGATCACCTCATTAACATGCATGAATCCCATGCATTACTGAACTCCAGCAAGATCACCTCATTACTATGTATGGATTCCATTATTATTTAACTCCTGAAAAATTCTGATCTTCTTAAAAGTTTGATAAAAATCAGAAGAAAAAATAATCATTACAAATGCTTAAGAATATTTTCTTTGTACATTTATGTGAATTTAGGAATAACCATTCAACTTTTATGGGGGAGGCAGGTAGTTTCTTTCCAATCAAACATAATTATTGTTCTTTTGCTTCCAAATATAATATTACTTTAATGGATATAATAAGTCTTTTCTTTAAAGAAATCAAAGCAAAAATATATTTTCAAGCTTTTTGAGAGATGGGTATTTCTTTCCAAAGTTTGTTTTGAAAATGGTCAATGAAGTCGTATTATCTGATTCCTGTTGGTGATAGAAAATATTGTATTATGATCATAAAGGGCTGACAATTTAACTTTCTAGTGTGTGTATGTAGGTGGCCTGGAAATTTCTATGGAGATATTTCTTTTCCTGTTATAACCCACCCCACTCCACCCCCACCTCTACCCCCACCCCATCCAATAAAAATGGTTGGTTTCTTACTGTGAAGTTGATGATGCTGCTGGTTGGTTTTGAATTGCACTTTTGACATATTATTGGCATCTCATGCCAAGGAAATGGGAGTTAAGTGTCTTTTTTATGTCACACTGAGGAAGCTAACCTGGCTGACTTGATTGGGTGTCAACCCATGAGCAATTAAAAGAAAGATAAATTGTATTTCTCTTGCCACAAGTTGCTACACATGTTAAGTCTTTATTGAGTAAATGCACCTGAATAGCATGGCATTATATTGTACTATTTTAGATTCTATCTTTACATGCTACCACAATACCTGCTTTATAGGACACCCTAGCATAATGTATGCCTGCTCAAAAAGGACAATATCTAATAACTATCTCTTCAAAAGTCATATACATATTGGATTCTGATACACAGGGCACATGTCCACAAAGGTCCCTTGAGTCTGTGTCCTATATAGACAGGTTTGGATCATGACACACAGAACACATGTCCACAAAGGTCCCTTGAGTCTGTGTCCTATATAGACAGGTTTGGATAACGACATACAGCTCAAATGTCTGCAAATATCCCTTAAGTCAGTGTCCTTTATGGACAGGTTTGGACATACCATACAGAACTCATATCCATAAAGGTATGATGTATCTTTTTCCTGTACAGGCAGGTTTCACTTTATTATTGTATTCTATTTTGAGAAAGGATATAATATGACTCTAAATGTTCACCACTGACTAAAGGTGTTTAAAATTAAGCTTGTCGAACAACAAAGTAATGTCTTAAAGCATCACAGAATTATGCTTTAATATCATCACTTTATCAAGAAAGTTCAAAGGAAGTACATAAGTGCACATAACTGATGTGATACAGTATCTGTTGGAGTTTTCAGGAAGCTATGCTGATGTGAAAGGGAGCTGAGAAAAAGCACTGATAACTAAGGAGTTTAAGCAACTCCCTTCCTCCCTCTCAAGTCCTGATTCAGTCTCTGCCACTGACTTACTGTATTTACTGGATGAAAAGTCTATGCTTGATGACATGCCTATCCACATCTGATCATTTTTGGTAAATATTTGCTATAGATATTTAACCTGATAATAAGCCCACCCCCTACTATAGGCAAATTTATTTGACTGGTTCCCTAGTCTTATCAAATACTCTATACAAGGGTTTGTGCTTACCACCATCAAAGCTGAGAAAGAAATTATGTCATTTCAATCATGACTTGAAGCTAGAAAAGTTTGGAAGGGAAAGACTGGTAACAAACCAAGAGC